TATTTTCATATTGCATATATTTTATTAATTCCAAAGAATTCTTTAATTGAAATCCAATTTCGGCTGATTATATAATTAATACATCTGGATCTCCTATTTGGAAGTCATATTAATTTCAATAACGCAATACTAATTTCAATACTAAAAATTGCAGTATGTTAAAAAAAAAATGCTGAAAGAGGGTTTAAAAATTTAAAGATTTATAGCATTCATCAAAAGAAACCAAAAAATATCTAATTAATATAAATTTTGCAATGAATCTTTTTGATATAAAATTATTATTAACATAAACATTCGATGTCATAAATGAATTTTTTTTTGCAATATATTGAATATAAATAAAGAAATTGATCTTCATTTATATATTAAATATAAATGAAGAAATTAACTCAGGATTTGTACCACAATTATAATATTATTGATTAATTAAGTGATTAATTCTATTAATAATTATCTATTAATAATCTATTAATAAATCTATTGATAATTAATGGAGATTATTTTACACAAATATGAAAACTATTGGCAAAATTATAAACGAAATATGTATTTGTTATTATTTGTTACTTTCGAATAATAAGTAGACGTGAATTGATCCAACAATAACGGTTTTCAATAGTAAATAAACACTAAAAATTTTCACTTCGTTTACGTGTATAGATTGATATTTTTTTATTTAAATTTTATTTAATTCAATTTTAATTATTGTATCTATGAATTTAAATTTATTTGCATTTTTTAATACTATTTTTTATATTTTTTTAATTTTATATTTCTTTTTTTAATATTATTCTGCAACATATTTGAAATTCTAAAAATTCTAAAGTTTATTTATCAAATTTTTCTATTTTTAAATGATTCGTATAGTATAGCTAGTACTATTTTTATTATTTTATTTGGTATTTAAACGTATTCATTTCATTAAATTATTATGAAAAAAATAAAATATTTTCTAATTATTCAAAAGATATATATACAAAATTATTTCAAATAATATAACTTTTTAATTTATTTTCTTCTATTTTTGTCAATAAATTTTATAATTATATGAATATATTTTTCTTAGAAAAGTGTTTTTTCTTAATAGAATAAATATTTATTTATATTATTATTATATATACTTGATTTATGAATAGTAATACGTAAAATATTACAAATAGTAATGATAAATAATATATTGTCTCATTTTATTATGTTCGTTTTGTTCGTCAAATAATATCTGATATACACAAATTTGATAAACTGTTTAACAAATAATCTTATTTAAAAAAAAAAATTTTTTTCACATTATTTAATTAAATCCAATTCATTTTTATTGATTAAAAGTCCTTATTTTTTTTTCTTTTTTTTTCTATCATTTTAAAAATATAATTCATATGATTACATGCTCTATATTTCATTACATTTAATGATAGTGAACATAATTTGTAAATATTATCTTGTAAAAATTATCTCTCTCGTATCCACACATGAAAAGCGATCGATAAATTTATTAAATAAAATTAAGGAAAATATTTGTTACATTATTTTTATGCTTTTTTGCTTGACAAAATGAACAACAAGAAAGGGAATAGATTTAGGAACTGACACATAATCAATAATTCTTTGGTTCATTTGGAAATTTTTAAATGGTAATGGTTATCAAAATATTTATTGTTTCTATAAATAATTTTCCAAATAATAAATAGTACATACAAATTTTTGTAAATAATGAGTTCTGAACTCATCATCATCATCAAATTTATTTAATAAATTATTATTTAATATTATTATTAAAAATGTATTGCAATTAAGTAATGCATATTTCAAGCTATTTCAAGAAATTTTGCGTTCGAATTTATCCATTTTTTTGTTTCTTTTGTTTTCTATTTTTGATTTTATTTTCTTCTTTCTTTATAATGTAAAAAAAAAAAAAATTAAAGAAAAATAAATAAATAAATAATTATATTTTAATTGATTTCTATTTAATTAATTATAAATGAAATCATAGAAGTGAATCTAAAGTGAATCCAAAAGCAACTGAAGACAATTTTTGTTTTTATTCGTTATTTTTAAATATTTTCATTTTTATGCATTTTATGCATAAAGATAAATGCAATTTTATCTTTAATTTTGATTTTTCATATTTTACTGACAATGTTTTTGAAATTGTATGCGTTTTCACGTATTTTATTTCAGTATTTCATTACGAAAATCTATTGTAAATTTTCTCTGAATTTTGTTCCTAACTTTGTCATGATAAAAAGTTTGATTTGTTCATGATAAAAAGTTTTTCTCATTATGAGAAAATTATCTTTGTTATTTATATTTTAATTTATTTTATTTATATATTTCATATGAAAAACATATTAATATGTATGTAATAATTATAATATCATTGTTTAAATTATTTTCATTTTTTTATTATTATTATTTATTATATTATTATTTATCATTTATTTATTATTTTTATTTATATTTTTTTATATTCAATTTTTTAAATTTTTTATTTTAATGTTTTCTTATTTCATTGTTTATATTCACAGATAGATATTTTTCCTATTTTCTTGAAAATTTTCAGAATTTTAATTTTTCTTTTAGATAATTTTACGATTCCACATGAGACATCATTCTTATATTTTAATTTCAAAAATTATTCTATTTCAGCAACTATTATAATTATATATATAATGTTATTTATCTTTAATCAATTCTAATCTAAAGTGTTATATGTATAAGAGGAATCGGTAATTAGAAGCAAACAACGAATATCATTATTTTTATTACGTTTCTCTATTTTAAACTTTCCATTTATAATATATTATTAACTGAAGTTTTAGAATTTGTTACTTTAGAATTTGAAATATTGAAGAATCAATGTTTTATCTAATGTTTTAAATTATTTATTATAATTCAACAAAAGATACGAATCTATAAAATTATTTTTACAGTTAATAATCACTCTTTCAGATGGAATATGGGATCTGGAGTTTTCACGCCGCGGGTGAACTTTGGGGTGATCCGCGTCTCACCCGAAGGCATCCGATTCTACCATCAAGTGCAACACAGTTACTGCCGAGATCCGCATTCGCCTTGAATGGCTTCCATCGACCAAATATGGTGTCATTACCATTGACTTCCGTTGGGCTACCATATGGACCTATGGAACTCGTTACAAAACGGAATAGTGAACGGGATGTGAAGAACGAAGAGAGAAAAAAGGAGAAACAAGATGACAACGAAGAAAACATCGAACGAGCCAACGAAAATGATAATCAGGTTTGAATTTGGTGAAAGATTTATTTTTTATATAAATAGATTCAATAAGATCATGTATTCATGGTAGACTTGGATTTAATCAACTATATTTTAATCATTATTATAATTGATTACTATACTAAGGAAATAATCGTAATAATCATAATCATTAATTAAATAATTATTGTAATGATGTATAATATCTAATCATTGATCAATAATTTTTAATTACTTATCATATATGATGCATATTGAAATATATAAAGAAAATGTTGTGTATAGAATATTCTACAGATAATGATATAAAAAAGAGTCTACATGAAAAAATAAATTGAAAATATAGAATACAATTTCTTCATTTGAATTTTTATTTTAGAATAAATCAAATGAAAATGAAAATTTTATAAATATAACTGTGATTAAATTCTTGATTAGATATGAAATTATTGATATTCTACACGTAAAAACACTACAATAATAATGAATATAAATATGAAAGATACATAATTTTTCTTCGACAAAATATTTAAAATTTATATAGCTACATATAGAACATTAATTTATATAATTAATGTTAAAAGAAAATTATATTTACATATTAAAATAAACAAATAATTTCCTGTGTTCCAAAATTATATAAATAATAAACATATATTTTTTAAAAACTATAAATAATATTGTTATTAAAAAATTAAATAAATTATTGATTTAATCATAATTAAAATTATAATCATCTTATAATTGATTATTAACCTAATCAATGAATGAATTGAGTTTGAATTAATTATTATAATTACTTCTCTTAATTATTATTTATTGATTATTTAATTATTTTTTAATAATAAAATCAATTATATTATTTATATTTATTAAATATATTATATTTAATAATTATTTAATAATCAGTAACATAATCAAAACATATTTTTACATTAATTATAATTTTTTTTTATTAATTAGTTTATTATCAAATCTGATCCATAGAAAGATTCCATAAATTTTTGTGGATAGCTAAAATTACGAATAATAAAGAATGTTATGTACATAATATTTATACTTAATAATAACAAATAATATACAATTTAAATACATAACAAAAAAAAATATTAATGTATAATTAGAATATCCCAATAAAAATAATATATATGCGCTATTATTTATATAACATCAAATTTTCTGTTTAATAATAAAAATATTTCAGCTCTATTTAGTCTTTTATAAGATTTTAGATATTTCCGTTAAATTAATAAATTTTTTTTAAATTTTTCAATATCATTATGACTATATAACATAACTATATATTATATATTATATAGTATATATTATATATATAATATATATTAAATATAATATATAGTTATGTATTATTTATTTATCTATAGAATTTTTTTTATATTTAAAATAATATTAGAAGTTTGAGTATTTAGTAATAGGTTAAAATGAAATTTCTTATAAGTCTCAAATATTGTATTTAATATTTCAAATACAGAGATACATATATTTAAAATTATATTTAAAATTATCTATATAAGATCATATCTAATTGAATATTTGAATATCATATTTCTATATCTAACACACATCTTACTTTTATTCTATAATGTTTTTTTTATATAATATTTATTTTTAAAACGTAAAATTTTAATTGAAAAAGAAGAATAATAGCGTGATCAAAACTTTAATTTATAAAATTAAAAGTTTAATTAATGTAAACAAGTATTTTAATTCTAGTATTTTCTTTATGTCATTTTTCATATTAATTTTGAAGAATTGTATATTTATATAGATATACATATATTATATATGATATAAAGATAAATAGAAAAAATATAGAAATAAGTAGAGAATTTTAGAATATTTTATTACGATTTAATCATAAAATTATTATATTGAGTGTTATTTGTGCTTATGAGATTATTTATATACTTTCTTTTAAATTAAATTAATTTAAATTAATTCTTATTTTTTTCATTAAGTCTAAATTAATTTCTCATTAAGAACTTAAAAAAGTTAAAAATAAATATTAATAATATCTTTTTTTATATGAAATACTTTATTATATTAAAATATTTATTTCTCGATGATTCTTATTTGATATTAATTTTTAGTGCGTCATTAGTGAAATTATCACTTTCTTATTTATTATTATTATAATTTTTATTATTTTGTTATAATTTTTCTCAAAACGAAAATATTAATTTTTTAATTTATTAATTTTAATAACAAATTATTATAATATTTTTTTTAAATTAAATAACTAAAAATAATAAATAATAAATAATGAAACAAATAATAAATAGTTAGAATTATCATGCATTCAAGCTATTAAATCGAATAATTTATAATTTAATAATTATAATTTTTAATTTAATAATCAAATCTCATGTATTTTTTTTATGAAATAAATTTAAAAAAATTTTTTTTATTATTCTTTATATCTATTATTTTTTATTATTAATGTCTGATTTCTCATTATACTTATGACTCGTTTCTAAAATAGACATTCAATCATTTATTCACCATAAAAATTTTAAAATTATCACGAAGGTATTTAGAGAAAGTATATTTATATATATAATTTATATAGAATCGCTTTATTTAAACATATCTGTTTCTTTAAATAATTTTATTCTTTCGAAAAAAAGTAAATATGAGTTTATCTCAATGAAAACATTGTTTATACATTTTCATGAATATTATAGAAAATCATTAATGAAAATGAATGTTATCTAAAATGTTATCTAAA